TGAAGTCTAGATTGGGTCCCCCCATTCGAGTTGCTCGACTCTAGGAGAGCTCTAGCTCTGGATGTGGTCTCGCGACGGCCTCCCTCAGACACCATAGTTTTATATTTTAATTTTTTCAAGTTGAAGATCGAAAATTTTGGCGATCGAGATGGTAGATCTCGGAGAGATCGTACATCCCGCTTCGCGGGATCCGAAAGGATGTAAGATCCATCCTTCCTGATGGATCTACCATCCATCCTTCCTGATGGAGCCCTGCCTCTACCATTGCTCGTAGGGCCTGCGAGCGTGCGAGCTGGGAGGCTCAGACATCACCATTTATGAAGACAGGATAAAGGCTTGTCTTCTTCTAGCTTTCTTAGCCTTTTAATTCGTTTAATTACACTTCCGATGGTGATCCTTCGGATGGTGAGATGTCGCCGTCCTCCCCCCAAAAAGAGAGACTCTCTGGTGACCCGGGGACTTGCAAGTCCGTAGAGGACCAAGTGGGTCACTGTAGGAGAGCGGGGTCTGCGAAGTTTCCCTACCCTAAAGTTTGGTAGGGTCACCCGATGAAATTTTTCATAACGTCCTTTTTTTAAAACCCAATTATTTCAAAATCAAGTATAAGCTAAACTCTCTATTTTATGACGTCTCCCCCGGTACCCCGTGGCCGAGTCCTTCGAGAGAGTTTGCCCTCTCTTGGGGAGATCAACCAAAGTAGACTTCACTCCACCACCCCCTGGGTGCTCTTGCCCCAGAGATATTTTAGGTTCCCGCTGCTCCAAGGTGATCTTTTCCCCGTGGACCCGCTCCACGACTTTTAATAAAGATTTTTTCCTTCACTTTACAGTCCCGCTCGCTAGTTCGCAGGACCTCCGGGCAATCACTCTTCTACTTTTAAAAGCTCCAAACTCGAGATCCGTAGGGACTCCCGAAGAGAGTGTAGGAGGGTTGGGGGAAGAGTGGTGACCCTTCCCCATGCCAGAGGGTGGACTGAGGTCTGTGGTGTCCTCTCTATCCAAGAGAGTCTGCCTCTGTCTCTGTCTTATCCCTTCTAAATAACCAGTCGCATGAAGAAAATTATCCTCCTTTGAGTCACCCCTGTGGGGTAAATTAGAGGGAGAGACAGTAGAAGATCTACCCTTAAAAAAGGATAATAGAACATCAAAGTTGGGTGACACAGGGCGATATCCCTTTATGCGGGGTCTTCTTCTTAAAAAACTCCTAGCAATAAAATTATCACTTTTTAGGCTGTGAAAATTCCGAGGGAGTCGTAAATCCCTCCTTCGGGGATGTGAGGGGATCCTTTGGCTCATGAAATAAAAAGTTAGTAATTTTTTAAGAGCTTTTTCTTTTCTAAAAAATAGACCTTTACCACTAACTTTTAATAATTTTATTAAACTTTTAAGACTCTTATACATATGCCCGTGCAGGTCAATCGTAGATCTGTCTGTACTCCGGGCCAGAGGTCCCTGAGTGTCATTCTCACTCTCACAGATCCGAGGTACTCCGAAGGAGTGTAGGAGGGTCCCTACGGAACCCCGAAGGGCCGCCTCCCCGGAACCCCCCACCATCGAAGATGTAGGAGGGAGACCCCCCCCCTCGTTTATCCATTGGATAACTCCTTCGGCTGACTGCCGACCTCTTTCTTCTAACTGGAAATAATAATATTCGCCGACTTACTTCCTTATATTTCTTTTTTTTATTATTTTTCTTATCTTTTTTATCTTTCTTATCTTTATTTTTATTACTCAAATAGGCCTGTCCAGACTTGTCCTTTAAATACTTTATTTTTTTTGATCATTTAGGTCCTTTTTTTCTAAAGGCCCTATATACCCTACGCCCTCTGTATAAGCGAACTTTTTTCTTTTTTCTATAAACTAAAAAAATTATTTTTAGAATCTTTACTTTTCGTTTTAGTATTATGTCTGATACTTTATAATTCATACTTAGTAAAGTACCTCGTACAAAATCACGAATTTCTCGATCCTCATTTAAAAGTTGACCTAAACCTTCAGGTAATATTCAAACTGAGTGTTGATTCTTTTGATTTTGTAATTTTATTAGATTAGGGCTTACTTTTGACACTTACAAAACGGGAGTCGAACCCCTTAGTAAATCCGAAGGTTTCAATCTTATAGCGTAGCGGGACCTCCTCCACCTGAGTGTCTATTTTTGAACTGGTTTCAGGATAACCCAATTCTCCGTTCACTGTATCAGAATGCTCGACCATCTGATCCAATGTGGTAGCGTTCGGGTTGAAGTTTCCAGCATAATTGGATATTTTACTCTAATTAAATCCCATTGCCACTTATCTTTAGCTATTGAAGACATGTGCTCTCCCTCTCCTTGGGGAGTATCTTAAGGGGGATTAAATTATTGACTAGGGACAGAGGGTAGTCCTAAAATATGTGTGAGATATAAACTGGATTAGTGTTATTAGATACAGGGGGACACTTTAAGATAAAGCTGTATCGTACCCCTAGGAAGTCGGAAGGTGTTCTGAGAGTGTCTCGGGACACCTGACTAAGGTGTAAATCTGAGTCAGCCCTCTCCTCATGACCTCGTCTCGAGTGTTCCTGCTCCCGTAGGCTCGTTCAACCCCCGGGGCTAAGATGAAAGAGGGGGGCATAGCAAGCTTTGCACTCCTCCACTAGCCACTCGAGTAAAGTGTTATATTAGAACATCCATTTTAATGACAGAAAAGTAGACTAAAGCTTAGGTTATTGAACTCATGACCGGAGGGGCCTGAAATACTATTTTAACTAACCAAGAGTGGTGTATTAATATACCCTTCAAATTAGAGTAGTCTGGATGGACGGTACTGCAAGGGGCCGGAGATGTCCAGCGTAGAGGAGGAGTACATACATCGCTGGGTATGAACGACTACACTAAACGATTATCAAGTAGGGTATACGATAAAATCACTGATCGTATCGTGTAAGAATCCATTGTGATCTAAGTGGAAAGACCTCAGGAATGTTATGGAAGTTGATAGGAACCTATCGTTACATATAGATGAATTGAAGGATTTAGAGGTAGTTTATCGGAGTAATTTCGATACCGATCGAAAAGTGTTTTGTCTGTTGGGAGATCACCCTAAGATAATTTACCCGTAGGGACTAGCCATGACCTCCCTCTCGAGAGCGGAAGGAGATCTTAATCATAGCTTATAGAATAGCAATCAAGTGTACGTCCATACACTGTGAAAGAAGTATTTAAAATTTTCTAGGAGTAGCTACTATGTATAAAGAGTTAAGTCAACTTATAAAAACTAAAGGGGGAGAGGTTTATTCAAGTCCAGATTATTTATGATATTTCTTAGCTCTTCCACAAAGGCTATCCTTATGATCAGAGCCATACTAGAACAGCGCGACAACTTCGGTGTTGAGGTGACACCGACCGCTAACTCTGCAGTCATAGATGAGTGGACTAATAAGTATGGTGGTGACTATATTACACTCGGTTTCATGACACCAGACTTTGATTATTATTTTTATTATACCCAGACACCCTATTCCGTTGAGACCTTCTGTCCTTGTTGGAGTCATCCTTTAGTCACCATTTATACACCCGTTAATAGTATATGAGTATATGTCTACACATTTAGCCATATACTCCTACCTCTTTTATTATCTAGTGTATAATCTATCTATATCTCCGATAACCCACTCTCTGTTGTCCAACTAATCATAGTCTTCCTTCACCTAGTCGTGGGTATCTGTTATCTTATACATGTCTCTCAGTATTCATTCATACTATCACACAGTACCTTGCGTACTTATGTCTATGGTATAGATATCCCCCTACCTAGTATCCTTATCTATACTCAGATGACGATATACCCCATGTACCTCTTACTTTCAGGAATATAAGTAGACATAAGGTAGAGTATAAATAATGCGTGGTAAGGGTGACCTAGTGTTAATATGATGGACCATTCCAACTTAAAGTGGTCCACAATGGAATTTATGTGGGGTTAGATCTTATCCGTCACTTGTTGGTTGAGATGAAGAATTGTGAAGATGCTTTTTGAGCCTTGGCTACCTGTGATTACCGAGACCTGGTCTTAATATTAGAAATTGTTCAAAAAACAACAATTTATTTTTAAAAGTAAAATTGTTCTATAAACCTGAGTACATACCTAAGATAAAAGATTACCCCCTAGATCGCTCCCAAAGGTAGGGTCGGGATGGTCCTAAAGGCATCTTCGATTCCAATGGTGTAAATTATCTGCGGCCAATCAAATCAAAATAAAATAAGTCGTAGATCGATGCAGATTATAAACAGTGTAGCCTTCCTAAAGGAGTCTTACGGAAAAAGGAGATAAGATAGAGCCTGGAGTATGGTGGTGCATCCGTAGCGCTATGTAGACGGTGGTGTACCGGA